AGAATATATATATATATATATATACACACATATGCATGCATACAGGGCCTGAACCAAACATTCGCCACATTGCCAAATGTGATAAAATCGTTAATTTTGCTGAAGTATTGGCGAATGATCTTCCTCTGGGTCGAAAAATATGTATTTAACTTGATCCTCAAAATTATGTCAAAATGAATTTTTCTGAAAAAATCAGTATTTTTTATTTAATTGCAGTAACTTTCGGTACAGTAATAACAGTAATAAGCCTCATGCAAACTACTGTAAAGTAGTTTTCTATGGGAAAAAAATTATTCATAAAAATTGCTAAGATTCGCGTTTGTCGAAGACTTTCAAAAATTGGCAAAAATTTATATATTAGTATACGGTGAAACCTCTGTTAAACGGACACTCTTGGGAGCAATCGAATTGTCCTCTTATGAGAGTTGTCCATTTACAGAAAGAGTACATTAATAACAAAGTTTAACATTATAAATTTATTTTAAAATAATTGCAATCATATGGAAAAAAGTTAAATAATCTAAAGTAACTATTTACAATGATATTATTTTAAACTTTAAAAAATACTTTTTAATGTACTCTTTCTCGGACACTCTTGGGAGCAATCGAATTGTCCTCTTATGAGAGTTGTCCGTTTACAGAAAGAGTACATTAATAACAAAGTTTAACATTATAAATTTATTTTAGAATAATTGCAATCATATGGAAAAAAGTTAAATAGTCTAAAGTAACTATTTACAATGATATTATTTTAAACTTTAAAAAATACTTTTTAATGCAAAAAAAAAAAAAAAAAAAAAAAAAAAAGAAAAAAAAAAGAAAAACAGATTTGAAAACATTTAATATGTATTCACAATTCTTGATGTGGCTGCAGAGAAATAGTATGTTTTTCCTATTTACACATACATTCAAGTTAATCATACTGGATAGGCGCTTTTAGTCCTATGTCACTTTGTCAGTTTGATTATTAGATTTCAAATCACTTGATAAAAAATAAAGTAATTCCCCCTGAATCATCACTATTACTTAATAGAAAATGTAATACAGTAGGGAACCGATTATCCGGAACGATCGGGACCATCGCTATTCCGAATAACTGATTTTTCCGGTTTTCTGAATCACTACAAAAAGTCGTTTTTTTATTGTTAAACCCAATTAAAAAAATATATATATTTGGAAATAATCTTAAAAAGAAGAAAAAACAATGAAGTAATACACTAATGATTATTTCCAAAATGATGGTAAGGTGAACATCTTTCAAAAAAGAAAGAAAAATCCTGAAATCTTATGAGGAAAAAAATATTTTTTTTAAAAATGGCGGGAAAATTTATCGAATTTCGTTCCGGTTTTTTGGTTTTCCGATTTCCGGCTAACGGGTCTTGTACTGTACCTCCTTAAAAGTAAACCACCCAATTTGCACAAAGAAAAAAAAAACGAAAACAGCTATGCGTACCTGTAATGCATGAGGCTATAGAGTTGTCATATTCACAATTGACCATCTGTGAAATGTCTAATTAAATGTTTTGTTTGTATATGAACACCTCAATAACTAAATTTCTGTTCTCTTTTTTTTACCCAGCTGTGTTAAATATAGTCTCCAAATTGATTATATGTAGAAAAAAAATTTCAGTGGGGAAGAGAAATTGAGAGCATTTAAGGCATCATATCAGCTTGTGGGGTCTCATAACCAGTATCATTCAGATGAAAAAATCAAAAAATGCCACTGTCTGAAATATTTCGTATGAGCAGTATCATTTTATCTCCTTACTTTGTAAACATGAAGGAAGGGGGAAGGAGAATAATGGATTTTTTAGTTGTGAAATAGCTTAATATTTTTAGTTGGGGATAAGGTAAAGAAATTACAGGCTTTAAAAATAATGGAGAGTTGCGTATTTTTTTCCTTAGAATTTAAAGCGGAAAGTTTTTTTCTTTCAAATTTAGAAAAATTGTTGTCCAGTTTGTAAGGATAGAAACTAACGTTTCAGGACATAAATGTCTGTCCACGTCTGGTTACGGGAGTGTCCATTTTGCAGAGAAGGTAAATGATGTTTTATTTACAGGGAATTAAAAGTATGCCCATAATGAGAGGCATCCGCTTGGTAGGAGTGTTTTAAATAGGAGGTATCATTGTGTATGTGTGAGTTTGTGTGTATATATACGTATATATGTATATGAATTGAGAAATTGAAAAAATACCTCTACCTAACCTTCTATGTCTGATGACAATTCAACTTAAAATCATATTCTGTCAATTACATAGAGAATTTGAATTAATCCAAAGAAAAGTTTTTGAAAATTAAAAATTAAGAAATAGATGATGTAGAATCATTTAATTATTAACCAGTTCAGCTGTTGATAAAAAAGGCAGAGATATAAGGTAGAGAATAATTAAATTCAGAACATGTTTTAAATAACTGCATAAATTGTGGAGTGCACTGCATATTGAAATTAAAGAAAAAATAGTAGTGTACAAAGAAATTGTCAGACCAGTTCCACTTTATGATTTAGAGATGTGGAAACAGACAAAAATGGAAAAATAAAAATTGAAAACCTTTCAGAACAAATGCTTGAGATGAATTGTAAAATTTTTTTTAGCTATATAAGGTTACAAGCAAAATTCTTTTTAAAATAAACCAAAATAAAGACAATCGAAGGGGAAACACGGAGATGGGACTGACTTAGTCACATATTTAAAATGCTCAGAGCGAAAATAATATCTGTTGCTCTCACTAGGGGCATCAGAAGGAAAAAGAGTTAGAGGAAGATCCAAGCTTGCTTTACAACGTATGACATTGAATGAGTTAATGAGCTTAGGGCCAAACTTGTTACAGAAGACAGAATTAGATGGAAAGATATGCTAAAGGCCTTATTTTTTTTAAAGAAAAAATGAGCCTTATGTAAAAAAAATGAGCACAATGATATTCCAAAGTAATCAGGGATCTGTTTAGAAGTAATTTGGGTATGTTAACAGACCCTTCACAAAATATCTTTTCATAAAAACGGACCCTTCACAAAATATTTTAACTTAAAAATGGACCCTTCATAAAATGATTTTTCTTTTAATCAAATCGGACCCTTCACAAATTTGTTTATCTTTATTATTGTTTTGTTAATTGAATAAACCCAGGGCAGAAAACAAGAAAGATGGATGTAAACGAATTAAGTTCTGTCTTCGGCAAACGATTCTTCCATTATTCCTTCGAAATGAATATTCTGTGTTCAGCAGTATAGGCTAAATGCCAAATATTTATATGTTGCATCTCTAATTTAGAAGCAGCAATTGCTGTTTATTTTTGAAAATTTAATTTTTTTAATTGTAATTTTACAGTGCTGAGCATAATCTTGTATCTATTAACAATTTAAAAACTCCTTGAAAAAATTTTTTGCGATAACCGGACCCTATTTGCAAAAATTCATAAAAGCAGAACCCTGGTTGAAAGAATGTGAGTAATTTTTTCACAATTTCACGAAAACCGGACCTTTCACAAAATGTCTGGACAGACCCCTAGTAATGCCATTGGAAGTGAACATTTTTCAATAGTTCTTAAAATATTTCCAACATTTCTTAAAATTACTTTTAGGAAAGTTGTGCATGACTTCTCTATCTTTAACATAATAGTTTTTTAAAATAACAATGATTCTTGGTGGATGCAATAAAAATATTCTTTGTATGAACTTATGTTTTGTGTTTACTCTAAGATTATTGCATTACTTGACTTTAATATTATTATACAATTCATATTTCCCTATATCCAAATTCAATTAATTCAGTTTTTTTTCTTAGATTTTACAATTAATTTTTATTTAAAACCTTTATTTATTTATTTTTTTGTCTTAGTTTACATTCTTATCCTAATTTTAGATCCATTTACTGGGAAGAACATTGCTGAGTCGGTTCAATCATCTGAAGTTGCTGAACATGTGCAATATTGTTTTAAGAATTTTTATGAGAATTCTTTGGCACCTGCAAGTGATGCTGATTCAGACTCTTCAGAAAGTAATTTCAAAAATTATTCTAAATATTTGTTACACATTTGCTATAATTTAATTTTAAATATTCGATGCATCTTTTTTTTATTTTAAATTTTGGTACTTTATTAGCATATGTAGAGAATTCAGTATTATTTGAAGATGCTTATAAGAAATACTGACTCTCATGCAAACAACTTGAATTTGAACAAAATGTTTTTTAAGCACTTTGGCTTAATGTTAAGGATATTGTAATTTAAATTCCCAAAAGAATTAGACGTCATATGTTTTGAAACTGTTAAAAGGAATTTTAATATTTTTTAGAACGAAAAAGACAGTGATACATTAAACAAAGGATGGCAAACATGTAGCATTTTGTGTTTAGTAGGTTTTTCTTTTATAATATGTGTTTATATATATATACACTGCCCTGCAATAGTGGAAGAGACACTTTCAGTTTTTAAAATTTTTTAAATTTTTCAAGAAATATTAGCAATAAAGTTGAAATCTTTCAGACGTTTCAGTGACCGACAATAAATTACAAGAGAAAATAAGTATTTTTTTACACACATGCAAGAAAAATCAAGCATTAAACTTGTAGCTTGGACCGATTACTTTGGTTGTTATTTGCAATGACAGCATAAAATTTCATAAAACTAGTTTAAACATTTAAGAAGATATAGACACTTTTATGAAAAAATTATTTTTTGTCTTACATTTTTTTGCTATAACTTTAAAAATATTGAATAAAATTGAACAAAGTTTCTGGAGAAATTAAAAATTAATCACAAAATTGTAGATTTAAGAGGTGAAAGAAATTCGGAAAAAAAACTGCATAAGATATGTCTATTTAAAGTAGTTCTTTTATACTGTGCATTACAGTTTTTTGCTATAACTTTAAAAATATTGAATAAAATGTAACAAAATTTCTTGAGCAATTAAAAATTAATCACAAAATTATTAATTTAAAAGGTGATAAAAATTCGTAAAAAACTGCTAGATATGGCTATTTAAAGTAGTTTTTTTATATTGTGCATGTGCAGAAAATTTTTAAGAAATTCATAATTTTGCAGTGAATCATATTTGGCAACTAATGAAAAAGCTTGATTTGAATGTCTTAAAAATTTAAAGAATTTCAAGCAATTTTTTAGGCAATTTTATTACTCTGTTTAAAAAAGAGCTCAAAATAATAAGGGGTTATCCACAAATTTCATTGTGTTCCATAAGAATAACAAATGATAATACCTTACAATAATTGTGGGGACACCAAACTATGGTGGTATAAAAAAAAGAAAATGGATATGATTCTTTTATGGGATATGATCCCCCACAATGCTGATGTAATTTTTAATAAATCTTGTTAAATTGTACAAAATGAAATTTGTGGTAAAACCCCTATAATTTTGAGCTTACTATTAAAAAGTACAAAAACTGCTTGAAACTCTTCAAATTTTTAAGATATTCAGATCAGACTTTTTTTCATTAGTTGCCAAATATGATTTACTACAAAATTATAAAAAATATTTTTAAAATTTTTTCTGTGTGTACATAGTATAAAGGAGCTAATTTAGATAGTCATACCTCGCTCATTTTTTACCGAATTTCTTTTCAAAATTTGAAACAATAATGCTGTAAGTATTTTTAAATTGCTAAAAAAAATTTTTTTTTAATTTTATTGAGTATTTTTAAAATTATAGCAAAAAAGAAAAAAATGTAAGACAAAATAGTTTTTTTTATAAAAATGTCCTTATTTCCATAAATATTTAAGCTAGGCTTATGAAATTTTATGCAGTCATTGCTAATAATAACCAAAGTAGTCTGCATAAAATACAAGCTTATTGCTTGATTTTTCTGGTATAGGTTGTTTGTTTTGCTATTAAAAAGTATCTCTAAAAAATTAAATGATTTAAAAAAATCCATTTCATAGGAAAAATTGTGACTGAGGTTATTTTTTACTGTTGTAAATATATTTAGTTTCATTAGTTATTATTGTAATACTCCGTTTTAGAGGACATAAAACAATCACGAAACCATAATTGATACAAATCGTATTTTGTGAGTTTATGGGACAACAAATGCACAAGAAATGAAAAAAATTTTTATCCCCCTTTGGAAGCTATTAAATACTTTGTTTTTTTTAAAAAAGAAATTAATAATTCAAGATTAGTAGCTGAAGTTACTAATCATAAAATATTAGATTATAAGTTATAATTTTTTTTTTTTTTTTTGAAATACCCACTTGAGTTAACATTTTGTCAATTCAGGCATATACAGGGCAGATTTGTAGGCCACTCTTTCAGGGGCACCATATTAGATGGACGAGCGTTGCTCTCACTGTAAGGATAGATGGTATAAAGAATGACGCAACATCCATGCCTTGCCCGGGATTCGAACCCAGAACCTTTCTGATGCAGTGCGGTCGGCTTAAATTATCAACTGAATTTTCAGATTTTTGTTACCTCCCAAAATGAAGTAGTAGTGTAATTATTTTTACTTATGACTATGCTAAAGTGATTATCACCATACCTTTATTTGTGGATTAGGTAGCTATTACCAGAGAACTTATTTCTAAAATTAATTCAGCATCATTGACATCAATCATAGTTTGACGATTTCTTAAGGCTCCTGTGTTTGAAGTGGAATAGTGCCATTAAATTTTGACTTTCACGTCATTATTGTAAAAATAAAAATTTTAAAGCTACGTACAAAGTGCTAATTAAACATAAGTAGAATATATGTATGTATGTGATATGTTCACTGCACAAATTCATTTACTTCATAAAAAGAAAAGTTGGAAAATGCGAGGAGATGTTACAATTTTTTAAAATATTTTATTTAGTATAAATCTTTAATGAAATTGTCATTAGGAATTGGTCTTAATTATTTAGGAGATGGTAGGTATTGCGGGTATAGATTTTTATGCCCTCTCCTAAATAGGATTAAAAGAGAAAATTGTTGAATTGTGGTAAAATTTGAGTATCAATAGTTGACCTCCAGCAATACCACTATAGCAGATGATGTTGAATACATTTCATCTTTATTTTGATGGGAGGAACTTTTAAATATGTGTTTTTTGTTTTGTTTTTTTAAATCTAATAAAGCGAAGCCACGGGGAACAGCAATAAATAATAATAAGTTAAAGAAAATGGTAATTATTTTATCTTTATTGATTGCGTCCGTACATGTCTTTCAGATAAGTGCATGATTTCTTAGTTTGACCCTTATGTATCATTATCGATTTACTTTTTGAATTTTATAAATTTAAAAATTTTGAAATTTTAAATTTGGTTAAATTAATATTTATACTAGTTTTACTTTGCAACTTCTTTAGATGAAACTGAAATGAAAGCATTGTCAACCAAATATTCTTTTGATTTGTGCAAGCAGCTAAAGGTATATGTTTTATTAATTAATTTTTTGAATCATCTTCATTTTCATAATCATGTTTTAAGTTATTTATAAATATTGATTGTTTATTCCTTCATCTTTATAAAGTTATCATTAATTTTAATTAATCCCTACTCTACCAACATAGCCTATAGGTGGCACTCTAATTTTTCTTTCCTGTCTCTTTTATTATGTATGTGTGACAAACCATTTTGTAAGCATGAAACATAAGGGTTTGTAAATTATTTGATGCTAGATAGTGGCATTAATTATCTGGAATCTACTTGTTGTTTCTATCCCTTTGTTCGATACCTCATTGAGACAAACATCCCTAATTATATTTATCCTATCTAATAAGAATATTTTTGTAAATCAGTATCATTATTAAAAATTTTATCAGTTAAATGATCGCTTAAAAGGTAATATCTATTATTAATCGCGTACATGATACATATAGGAAAGCAACATGTTCAATACTGCATTAGTTCTTTAGTTAATTTTATTCCCTCGTCTCCTCTGGTTACATTTGCCTAATCCTATAAAAATGAGAATGTTTACCAAAGTCACAATTAACTTACCTGTAAAAAAGATGTCCCTAATTATTAATTGTTTGTTGGTTTATTGTATATATTCAAATAACATTTTATTTATTCAATCTTAAAAGCACATGCTGTAAAGGAGGAGAAATGGTAAGGCATTTTATTTCAACAATAAAGGTTGATGATCTGTTCTAATAGTTATGATTTCTCTTTTTCTCTTAAAGAAACATTTTTTAATCAATATTTTTTAAAATAAATTTCCCATCTATTTAATCTTTTCTTTTCTGATTCTTTATAATAAATGTATTCATTCAGTATTATTGATTAAAATTAACAGGGACCATTCACTAATTAACATGCACGATCTGTTTTTTCCAGATTAATGTATTTTATTTACGTTTTCTGCCTTATCTACAATGCCTCAACATATCTTTATCAACTTAGTATGATAAGTAACTATATCATTTGCAAATCTTCTAGACCTTTATTCTTAGACCTCTTTCGTTTTTTTTTAAGACTTAGCAGAAATTATTAATATTAAAACTATATACTGCAAGATGTTTTATTTCGACTTTAAGCAATTCATAATTTTTCATTGTCATCATCATTCAACTTAAAATCCTTTTTATTCCTTTTATTTATTATTTTTTTCTCTTTAATATAGATACGGCTTGAAGTGGTAAGTATTTATTTATGTTTGGATCTGCAACTTAAATGCCACTTATTTCTAATAAATATCACCCCACCTTATAGTTTAATAAACTAATATATTAACTTATTATTTAATTTTTGTTATATTTGTTTTTACTTCCTTTCCTAAAGAGTCTCTAATCTGACTCTTTCAATTTATTTTCATACTTATCCTAATTAATAGTTTTTATCCTTATCCTAATAATAATTATCCTTAATATCATAATTATTACTAATTATCTCTTCTAAATAAATTCATAATTATCTCTTCTAAATAAATTTAATCTTTTAAAAATATATAGCTAAGTATATTAGAGTCACAATGATTATAATTAACATTAAAAACAGCCTAATCTGTGCAAATTAAAATAGTTGTAGTGCATGAATATTTAGAAGGGTAAGCAATAATATTTATTACTCAATGATCTACTATTAATTTGAAAATGTATGTTGGATGACTGAAAACAATATTAAAATGTTCAAAATGATAGCAATCATTTAATAAAAGTGAAATATTGCTGCAAAATCAATATAGTTAATTCAAACTATAAAATGTTATTAGTGAAATATAGTTTTGTAAGACTTTTTTATTAAAATTTTTGTTGTGTGTAGATTTAATATTAACTTCATAAATCTGATGGTTTTTTTTCTTCCTATGTACTGTCATATAATTCGACCTACCCAGAAAATCTCACAAGTCGACTTTCCTGGAAGAAAAAATCTAATTTAAAGCCTCCAATGTTTTTTATAAAGCGATAGATACTTTTTATTTTTAGGGTAGAAACGAAACTATAAATTTTAATAACTTGCATTAATATAATATTTTTTTAAAAATTTTTTGAATATTTGTCTGTTTGCTTTTTTGTTGTGTTTTTAAAATCCTTTTTTTTTCCTTCTAAACTACAACCATAGGAATTATTATTGAAAGAAAATTCAAAGGCATTTTGAATGATTCAACTAAAACATAAAATTGCACTAATTTATTTTATATAAACATATTAACATATAGTGTGAAATTATACTAAATATAATTATACTTTAAAATAATAATTAAATAGTAAACATAAGATCTATTTTTTCTGATTACATGTTTATTAAATTTTTTAAATTGCAATTAAAATATTTCTTTGCAATAAAATTTTAGTGATATGTTTTTATTAGTGAAGGACAAATCTTCTTAAGTTTTAACCAATTTTTATTTTTTTAAAAATGATTTTATTATATTTGTAGATAATATTTTAAAATCATTTTTAGTTATTATTTTTTGTGAAGATATTTCTTCATTTAATTATTTCAATAGTATTTAATATTCATCTTTAGTTGAAAAAGTGTTAAAGTTAGTAAAATTTTTTTTGAAATAATGTATAATAAATTTTTGTTAATGCCACAAAGTCAGCTGTATATCAAAAATTCTTTGTTCAATAAAACTTTATTGGCCCCTTTTTAATACGTAGTGTATGTATATATAATAATACATTATGTATACATACACTACGTATATAATATATAGTAATACATTATATTAATATATAGTGTATGTGATATATAGACATGACCTTATAGGACATGACTGCACTTTAAGACATGATGATATTGTATCAATAGGTTTTAGAACAAGTAATTTAGAATAGGTTTTCTTATGAGGATTATTTATTTTTGGACTCATTGATTCAATTACGTAAAATTTTGCATTTTTATCATATTCAAATAACTAGTTGTAATTTTCAAAGCAGTTTATGCTCAATTGTTTGTTGTAATTTTATGAGAAATTAATAACAAATAATAATCTGTTATTAATTTCTGCTTATTTACTATTGTTGAGTATAAATGAATTGAATATAAATGAATTTAATTATGAACTGTTAATTCACCTCTTTATATATTTTACAAACTAAAAAAAAAAGCTAAATATGGTGAAGGAAAGCCAAGGGTGCCAATTTTAAGTGGTGATGATGATAGAATATTAAGGTGTGGGTGGAGTTTGTGTAATGGTATAGTGGGCCAAGTTGAAGATATTGACAAATTGAAGATTGATGCTGAAATCAGGAGATGATGAAAAGAATACTTGAACCGGATCATATTTAATAAAAAGCTTTTATTTATTAATAGTATTTGCAGAGCTCGAGATACAAAACTAAATATCATTCATAAGAATTTCAGTTGAATCAGTTTTGCATAGTAATATTAAAATAGGTCAGGCCATGGGAGACAAATCCCCACGACCTGCCTAATCAAAAGCCAAATTAAAAAGTACGTGTAATATGTTCCCAATGGACACAGAAGTATGGGTAGGAGATCCAAAATTGACGATTTATTGAAATATTACGTAGCCAAAACAAAGCCAACCAGCCTATGAATATGGGTTTAAAAGAATACCTTGGCGATCACGAGTCGCCAACAAATTTATGAGAATTATTACAACCATGCAACCGAAACATTTAGCCGTTGGAAAATTAGAATAAAAAGTTATAAATAGATTTTTGTTTTCGATTAGAGGCGACAGTGAATATATAAGTCTGCATTAGTAATGAAATAAAAAAATATCCGTTACATTGATCTGGAAGAGAAGAAATAAATATTTTATGTTTGTTTTAAAAAGATTAAGTTTGTGATTTATTTTAAATGTAATTCTATTAATAAAAAATCAGCTTAAGTAATGAAAGATATTTTAAAAGATAGAAAATAAATATGTGTATGCCAATTCTGGCATCACA